ACTAAAAAATCCGTTCCCAAAAAAAAAAAAAAAAAAAAAAAAATTAACCCGGAAAGAACATTCTAGAGATGTAAAGAATATTTAGCTAAAATGAAAAAAACATTTAATTAACGGCTATTTCACCAAATGTCACTGAGCACTTTAATAATTCACCAAATGCCATCAAGGTTTTCAAAATTCATCAAATGCTACCCAGCTTTAAAAAAAATCACCAACTGTTATTAATGACTAACGGTCGTTAACTTCGTTAATCATTAGGGATTAATCATGACACATGTCATGATATGATTAGTCTATTTATCTTAATTTGTAAAAATTTAAGAAAATAAATCCAAAACTTTCCCAGCCACCTACCCACAACCGCCAAACCCAAGCTCGACCCCTTATCTCGCCGGAAAATGGTCAGCCACCCCTTAACCACAAAAAATTGGTCGGCCGACCTTTTAGCTCCTCACCTGACCCATCGCTGACCCCTAAAACCACCCACATAGCCTACCCCGACCCCAAAATCCACCAACACGAGCTTTGATCAAGCACCCTCTCCTTTCCCTTGTTGCCAAAATTGCCCCTCCTCCCTTTCTCCACCCTCGAAATCGGTCATTTCGACGGTGGGAGAAAGGAGGGGCGATTTTACTAGTGGTTTTTAGGGTTGTGGCAGGTTGTGTGGATGGATTTTGGGGAGGGAGAAGCATGTTTTGGTGGTTTTGGGGCTCGGGGTAGGTTGTGTAAGTGGGTTTGGAGGTCGGTGGTGGGTTAGGTGAGGTGCTAAAGGGCCGGTCGACTGATTTTTGGTGGTTAAAGGGGTAGTCGGCCATTTTCCGGCGAGGCAAGGGGAGGGGCTAGGGTTTGGCGGTGGTAGGTAGGTGGCTGGGCAAATTTTGGATTTTTTTTTGTTTGTTTTAAATTTTTATAAATTAAGATAAGTGGAAAAATCATTCATGACATGTGTCTTGATTAAACCCTAATGACTAACGGAGTTAATGGCCGTTAGTAGAATTTTATGATTACAAAATATTTTAATTCAAATCTTAAATAACACGATTAATGAAAAATAAATACAAAATTTCATTCAAAATTACCTTCGATCTTTGATTAACAAATCCATATATTCACCTTCATTAACAATCACTCCATTAACAAAACAATGATCAAAAGTACCACGTAACTCGATCTAAATGCGCAACCATCGTCTTCTATCAGTAGAATTTTCTTTTTCTCTCTAAATTTTCTATTTTTCTCTCTAAGATTTTTATTCATTTCCCTAAAGAATTCAAACAAGTGAAATTAAAATATGAAGAAATATACAAATTTCTAAATTGAAATTGGAAAATAATTAGCAAAACTCTTCAATTATGAAACAAATAATTCATTTAAAGATTGAAAAGCTAGATGTTCTTTAAAAAATATTATTATTATTATTATTATTATTATTATTATTATTATTATTATTATGGAATAGAAAATAAAGAGAGATGAGGGAAGATTGTTACGTTGTATTTCATATTCCATCTAGTACGGGATATATATAATGTACATTTCCTAGGGTTCCATCAATGGATAAGACCAAATACCCAACTCTAAAATATTCTAGATTGTACATGGGATAATAGTCATCCATATTTAGATATTATCATAACACTCCCCCTTGGATGACTATATATTGAATAAAACAATAACTAACATTTACTACAAAACCTGTACAAAATAATACACTATAATGCGCATAAGATGCTGCCTCGTTAAAAACCTTACCAGGAAAACCCAGTGGGAAAAAAACCATGGTTAAGGAAAAAAGAGTGTAGCGCGCATTAACTCCCCCTCATGACTACATCACTTGAGATCTTTAAGACGACGCAATCCAATGCCGTAAGCTAACTTTTTGAATGTTGCTGTCGGAAGAGCCTTAGTAAATAAGTCTGCTAAATTCTCACTTGAACGAATCTGCAATACATTTATATCTCCATTCTTCTGAAGATCATGAGTGAAGAAAAATTTGGGTAAGATGTGCTTTGTTCTGTCGCCTTTGATGTATCCTTCCTTAAGTTGAGCAATACAAGCAGCGTTATCCTCATATAAAGTTGTTGGTGCCTCTTTCCCAGATGATAAACCACAAACTTCTTTTATATGTTGAACTACCGACCTTAACCATACACATTCACGACTAGCCTCGTGAATTGCTAAAATCTCATAATGATTGGAAGAAGTAGCTGCAATGGTTTGTTTCATGTAATGCCAAGAAATGGCAGTACAACCATATGTGAACACATATCCAGTTTGTGACCAACCATTATGAGGATCAGATAAATAACCTGCATATGCAAAACCAATCAAATTTTCTTTGGACAACTTTGGGAAAAATAAACCCATATCCTTCGTAGCTTGAAGGTAACGAAGTAAATGTTTAATCCCATTTCAATGCCTTCGGGTTGGACATGAACTAAACCTTGCTAATAAATGAACTGAAAATGATATATCAGGTCGTGTATGACTTGCAAGGTACATTAGTGCTCCAATTGCACTAAGATACGGTACTTCAGGACCAAGAATTTCTTCATCATTTTCCTGAGGTCGGAATGGATCTTTCTCTACTTCAAGTGATCTTACAACCATAGGGCTGCTCAATGGATGTGCTGTATCCAAAGAAAATATTTTAAGAACCTTTTCTATGTATATTGATTGATGCACAAGGATTCCATTCTCTAGGTGCTCTATTTGTAACCCCAAGTAGAATTTTGTCTTTCCTAGATCTTTCATTTCGAACTCTTTCTTTAAATAATTGACAGTCACTGAAATCTCTTCAGGAGTTCCAATGATATTCAAATCATCAACATACACTGCAATTATAACAAATCCTGATCCAAATTTCTTTATAAAAATACATGGGCTGATAGGATCATTCTTATAACCTTCTTTCAACAAATACTCACTTAGACGGTTATACCACATACGCCCATATTGTTTCAATCCATAAAGAGATTTGTTCAATTTAATACAGAAATGTTCTCGAGAACTAGATTTTGCTGCTTCCGGCAGCTTGAATCCTTCTGGGAGCTTCATGTAAATGTCATTATCCAGTGGGCCATATAAATAAGCTGTGACTACATCCATCAAACGTAAGTCAAGTCCTTCTCTTATTACCAGACTAATCAAAAATCTAAAAGTAGTTGCATCCACCACAGGAGAATATGTCTCCTCATAATCAATACCAGGTCTTTGTGAGAATCCTTGTGCAACTAAGCGTGCCTTATATCTTACAACTTCACCTTTTTCATTTCTCTTTCGCACAAAGACCCATTTATATCCCACTGGCTTTACACCTTCAAGTGTACGGAATACTGGTCCGAATACTTCTCTTTTTCCAAGAGATTTTAATTCTGCTTCAATTGTTTCTTTCCATTTTGGCCAATCATTTCTTTGTCTACATTCTTCAATAGATTTTGGTTCATGATCCTCATTATTATCCATAACATCTAATGCTACATTGCATGCAAAAACATCATCGATGTCGATTTGATTTCGGTTCCATGTAATTCCAGACATGATATAATTTATTGAAATTTCTTCATTATTAGGTACCTGAATTTCTTCTTGTATCATGTCTAAAGTCTCTTCTGGAGATCCTTCGGAAATTGTTTCTTCAATTTGACCATCATCAATCAATGCTCCTTTTCTTTTCCGAGGATTCTTATCTTTGGAACCTATTGGTCTTCCACGTTTTTGGCGTGGTTTAGACTCATTAGCAATTTTATTTTGTCCTTCCGGGACATCTATTTAAAATGGAGCATTAACAGCTGGAATATGCGACATCTAATTATTATTATTATTATTATTATTATTATTATTTTAAATTTTTTTTTTATTTTTTTTATTGTAAGATTGATGGAAAGATTGTATAAAAATTTCATTAGACTATGGTGGTTGAATGAAAATAATATTCATTACATTATATTATCATGTTCTTTATTAATATTACGGATGTTCTTTAGATATATATAAAGAACATAAATTGGATGTTTTTTTAACAAAATCTATAGCTATATGTTCTTTACAAAACAACTATATGTTCATTACAAAACAATTATATGTGATGTTCTTTATAAAATAGTTATATATTCATTACAAATAACTATACGTTCTTTACTAAACAGCTATATGTTCATTCCGCCTTTTTATTAAAAAAAATAAAATCGGATGCATGGAGCATGGTGCATCCGCCTCCAGGGAAATTTTTTTAATGTTTTTGTGTGCGGCTGGTCACACCATGTGCTCGCTTGCAAAAACAAAAAAACAGTAATTTATATTTTTTGAACCGACAAAGTAATTTATATAACACTGATCAAGTAATTCATGTAATTTATAAGTAACCCTTATAATATTAACCGAATAACCGTCGACAAAATAACTTCTGTAACACAGACCGAGTAATCTCTACAACCTAACGAAATAAAACCCATAGTTAGGGCCTGTTCTTTTACGTTGAAATTCAGTTCAGCTCAATTCAGTTCAGTTCAATTCAGTTCAGCTCAGTTTAGTTCAGTTCAGTTCAATTCAATTCAGTTCAGTTGAGGTTAATCAATGAGAACAAACCCTTACTCTTAGTCGTACGGTGTGAGAAATTGTGTATATCTTAATGTTTTTTTTAAAAGTAATTTTTTTAAATTTATTTATGTGAATTTTTATATTTCGTTCAATGATAATCGATTAATCGTAACACAAGTTTATATTAGAGTGATAATGAAACTAGACACTAGCAACAGTCAACAGAGCCACAGAGGTTTAAATAAAGGCAACGGAGTCACGGAGGGAGTTTATACGTTCAGGTAAATGGGTAAAGCTTGTCGTTAATCCCTTTAAAATACGGTAAAAAAAATACTCCGTATTTAAAAACCCGTAAATAATACAATGTACTGTACCACGGAGTACTTCCCATTTCCCAATAAGAAAAATAAAATAAAGGGAGTAAAAAATAATACTCCGTATTAGCGCTTAATTTTAATGTTATTACGCAGCAGTCCCAAAAGATGAGTAGAGAGAGAAGAGAGATAAAAACTCTGTAGAGAGTGAAGAGAGATAAAAACTCACTTCCTTTCTCCTCCTCATCTCACTCTTCAATAAACACACTCACTTCCTTTCTCTCTCCAAATTCTCTCATTTTCATTCCAAGATTCTCCTAATTCTTTCTTTCCATTCAACTAAGATCTCAGATTAATTAGGGTTTTTCCTATTTTCCCTTCATTATTCCCTCTATTTTTGATTCATTAAATAAGCATTTCTTCCATTTTTGGGAGCATTTTAGCTGAACCAGATGGAAGAACAAGAGGCGTCGGAAAATGAGTGAATGCAGATAATTTTTGGTGGGTATTGAAGGGTTATTAATAATTAGTAATTTTTTGAGTTAATAATGACGATAAAAGTGGTCGTGAAGAACAAGAAGAAGGCGACGCTTTTGACCAAGGAAAGAGAAAAAAAGCACTCAAAAGATCTCTCCCTTGATAGGTATTGTTGCTTGTTATTGTCAATGAATTAGTGAGAAAAATAAAGATAATATTTAAAAAAAAAAAAAAAAAGTTGGAAAACGAAAGCTACTCTCACTCAACCCAACCCATCCCACCTCATTTTTCTCTTTGATTTTTATTTTTCTGGTTTTTGATTTTAGTTAAGGAAAAAAAATAGTCATTTTTTGCTCACATAAATCTTTAAGCAAAATGCCTATGTACCAACCAACGAAGGTGGAGGTGGGTGGTGGAGGTCAAGTTTTAGATCTAGATACGGCGGTGAAGGATGGTGTGTTAGGCGGAGTAGACGACAACGGCGGGTTTACGCCGTCGTCGGAGAAGCTGGATCTTAAGAAGATGATTGAAGAGTTAGAGGCAATAGAAGTGCCTACAGTTTTCATATGTCCAATTTCATTGGAACCAATGTTAGATCCAGTTACTCTTTGTACAGGTCAAACGTATGAGAGGTGTAATATCATGAAATGGCTATCTTTAGGCCATTTAACTTGTCCCACTACAATGCAGGAGCTTTGGGATGATTCAATCACTCCTAATAAAACTCTTCAGCAATTGATTTATAGTTGGTTTTCGCAAAAATATATGGCAATGAAAAAGAAATCTGAGGATGTTCAAGGGCGAGTTTTGGAGATTTTGGAGAATTTGAAGAAATTAAAGGGTCAAGCTAGAGTTCAAGCTCTTAAAGGGCTTAAATTAGTTGTGGGTAATCATTTTTCAGCTAAGAAAACTATGGTGGATAATGGTGGGGTTGCTTTTTTGAGTTCTTTACTTGGTCCTTTCACTTCACATGCTGTTGGGTCTGAAGTGGTTGGGATTCTTGTTAATTTGAGTTTAGATTTCGAGTCAAAGTCGAATTTGACTCAACCCGCGAAGATCTCATTGATGGTTGATATGTTGAATGAGGGTTCTATTGAAACCAAGGTCAATTGTACTAAGTTGATCCAGGGTTTGATGGAGACTAAGGATTTCGACCCTGAGCTGGTGTCGAGTTTGAGCCTCTTGGTGGGGTTGTTGAAATTAGTCAAGGATAAGCGCAACTCAAATGGCATTCAACCAGGGCTTTCGCTCCTCAAGATGATAAGCTCACACGAGTGCGTTTGGAGTTCGATTGTGAGCATTGGGGCTATTCCTCAATTGGTTGATCTTTTGCCAAGTTTGAAAGCCGAGTGCTTGGAATTAGCACTCTCCATACTTGACAATTTGGCTAGTATTGAAGATGGGAGATTGGCCTTGAAAAATTGTCCCAACACAATACTAAATCTGGTGAAGCTATTGATGAGAATCTCCGAGAATTGCACTCAATTGTCATTGTCCATCTTGTGGGCAGTTTGCAAGCTATCACCTGAAGAGTGTGCGCCTATTGCAGTAGAAGCTGGCTTAGCGGCTAAGCTTCTGCTTGTCATCCAGAGTGGTTGCAACCCAGCATTGAAGCAACAATCAGCCGAGTTGTTGAAATTATGTAGTTTGAATTATACTGCTACGATTTTCATTTCCAAGTGTAAGCTTACAAGAACATTGCAATGAAAGTAAATGTTTGGCAGCCAGAAAACGTTGTTATTATTCTTGCATACTTTCATCTCTCAAATCATTCTTCAGCAGACAAATTTGTTGAAGATGCAATGCAAAGAGAAAAAAAAAAGCAAGTGGATGTGCATATAAGAGAGACCTCAATCCATGGATCAGTTTTGCAGCTTACTAGTGATCCGGTAATCAGGAAGCGCCATAAACCCATCACTACTTCAGCTTCCGAATTGAGCAATAGCAGAACAAAGGTTCATTGCTCGTCGATTTGGTTATTGTACCTGATTTTAATAATAAAGATCAGTGATAGTGATTCAGATTAGGATTAAGCTGTAAAGATACAGGTGACTTTCAGATTAAGCTGTAAAAATTGGAATTGCAAAAATTCCATGGTTTTTTTGTTTGTGTGATGATGAGACAATTAGGTTTACCAACATAGAAGTCTCCTCATTCAACATCGAAGAAGGTTAGATTTTGTAAAGATAGTCTTCAACATTTGATCAGTTTATGTACAATTTCAATCTTATTTCTGAGAATAACATTCAGATTTTCTTTCTTCATTGTGGCTGCCTCTGTTTGCTCTAAATTATGGCTACACAAAGTGTCAAATTCTGGCAATTTCTTCAAGATTTTTGAATACGTAGTCAAATTCGATTTTCGAAATTCTAATTAAATTCAAGGTCTTTACATAATCTATACTTTGATTAGGTTCATATTTTGATCAATATTTATGAATCAAAAGTCATTCTTCTTAGATTTACTTTAAGGTGAAAACTCATATTTTGAACATCCCATTAAATTTGAAGTTGTAAATTTCCCAAAAAAAAAATATAATGTGATGAAATTCAGAGTGACTCAGCAATGTCAGAGTGTTTAAGTGAGCAAATAGATGATGAAAATCATTCACTGAAAACAGGGCAGTAGTGATCAACTGATCATGGTGCACTCTTATGATTTATTTTCATAATTCATTATTTTTCTTTTTTATAGCATAGGATATATGTGATGGCTTTTGCAAATTTGTCACCTATCAGAAAGAAATGATATCTCATTGTTTTTAGGAAAGATGAGAGGAGGGAAGACAAAAGAAAAAAAGATAAAGAAAAAGGGTATAGTGGGGAAGTGAATGAAGACTTTCTCTGGGTTGAACAATACATTTTCCATCTTGGTCTTTCTGGTAATAATGACTCCCACAGTAGGGGAGACCCCTCTAGATTCTGACTTTAAGTACTATAGCTGTGGAACACACCCTAAGTACCCAATTCCAAATTATACTAAGCTAATACTGATTTTGACTCGATCTAAAATGACTTGATTTGAATCATTAATAATCCACTCTTCTGTATTAAAACAAATGCTTTAATTTGGGTGAATATATTGCATTAACACTTTCCTCTTTTAACTTCTTATACATAATCCTAATACCTAGTATAACATTCCAATATATTTTTTTTCTTTTTCTATTTATTTACATTTTTTAGATCAATGGTGTTTTATACATAGAATTATGCATGGGCAAAAGCTAATGAGCGCCCTCGAGGCGTTAGATAAGAGAATTAAAGTGGAAATATTAGAGTAAAATTACATTAATTACACCGAATGATGTGTGATTTTGTCATGCGAATTTAAAATTGACATTAATTATACTGATTGACGCGTAATTTGGACATGTATCCTAAAATTTATACGACTATTTTAGGAAATACTCCCTCCGTTTTTAAATTCTTGCTCCATTTCTCTTGGACACGTATGCCGATGCTAATCTTTGATCACTAATCTCTTTAATTATCAATAGGTATAACGTCTAACAATTGAAAATTAATAATCTATTCATTGAGATGATTCCAACAAGCACCCACACGACTATATTTTTTCTTATATATAAATCACAAACATTAGTCAAAGTATGATAAATGAATAGTGCAAAAAATAGAAATGGAGCAAGTATTTAGAAACGGAGGGAGTATTTGATTTAGTTATTCAACTCCCTTGGAGTGCTCGTTAATAAGATTAAATTTTTATTTTGTATCATAATTTTATACTTCGTAATAATTAAAAATTTTACTGAGTATTAGTTAATTATTTATGTGCTTTCACAAAAAATAAAATAAAAAATAAAAATTTGTTGACAAATGTCATATCTATTTATAACTAGTACTAAAGTATTTACAGCTGACATTGTAACTATACAAGTGAAAACTTCTTATAAATCAATTTCCCTCTAAAACTATTATTAACATCATTTTTTTTTTCTTTTTAAAGGTAAAATTAATGTTTGGAAATAATTGATTATATATTGTTCTAAAATAATTGACAGTTGGTCTCTTTCAAATCACATTCTATTTTTCCTCCTACATATTTTTTTTATTTTTAATTTTTTTAATTACAATCTCCCACATTTTAATAGTGATTGTCGAGTTTGGATCGAATTTTCATTCTTTATTAATTCTTCAAATTTTCTACAATTAATAAAAAACGAATTATAACATTTAAAAATAATTATGGTAACTATGAAATTAATTAGAATAACATCTTGACGTTCAATTTAGCTCAATTAATCTAATGAGAGGAATCACAATATATTATATTTTGATTAAAATATTTAATTACATAATTTCACTTTTTTTTTATGATTATATTGTGAGTTTGTGACCTTATGATTTTTTGTAAGAAAATATAGAAAATAACACCACAAATTTTACAAAAAATGGATTATAACACCACAAAATCTCAAACTTTTATTATAACACCACAAAAAAACCCAAAAATTGAATTTCACTACCATCTAACGGAATTTTTGGATGGAATCTGTTAGTGAGACCCACTTAGCACACGTGTTACTCATTGATTGGTTTTAAAAAAAAGAAAATAAAACAAAATTATAAGAAAATACAAAAAACCTTAACCCTAACCCAACCCCACCACCTGTGGCCCGAAACCCTAATCCAGCCCCATCGTCGGCACCCCAGCCACCAAAAACCCATCGGAGCCAACCTCAAAACACCCAGCCACCGAAAAAGCACCTAACCCATCCTTGAAACACCCCAGCCACCGAAAAACACTCCAACCGCCGCTAGCAAGGAGTGGGGTCGCATACAAGGGTGAGGATTAGGGCAGGGGTCATTGCACATGTGGAGTTTTGTGGGTCGTCGAGCAAGCGGAGTTTGGTGGATCGTCGTCTGGGTGTCGGAGTCGGTACAACGTGAGATAATTGCGGTGGCTAGGGTGGTTTTTGGGGATGAGGAAGGATGGATTAGGTGGAGTCAGCAGTTTTGGTGGGGTCAAAGGGTTCGGGCGGGAGGTCGGGGGTTTTGACGGGTTTCGGTGGGAGGTCAGGGGTTGTTGACGACTTTGGCTGGTGGTTCTGGTGGTGGGGGTTGGGTTGGGTTAGGATTTAGGAATTAGGAATTTTTTTTTAATTTTTATTTATTTATTTATTTATTTTAACAAATCTCTGAGTGACACGTGTCCATAGTGAGCCCCACTAATGGATTTCATCCAAGAATCCGTTAGATGGTGACGAAATCAAAATTTTTGACTTTTTTGTGGTGTTACAATAAAAGTTTGAAAAATTGTGGTGTTATAATTTATTTTTTGTAAAATTTGTGGTGTTATTTTCAAAGTTTTTTTTTTTTTTTTTTTACTGTAAGCCCGTGGAGAAGCACGTTTTTAGTAATCATTTTATTTAATTTAAAATTGTATATTTATGAAGATCTTTCATCAAATATATGGATAAAATTCCTAATATCATAAGATAATTTTTTAATTTTAACACTAAAGTAATCTTTTGTTTAATTTATTTATTTTATGTGACGCTTGAATTTAAAATCCCAAACCTTATTCACTAATTTTGCTTATGTGACAATTTAAATTTTTAATTCAAAAAAGAAATGACAAATCTCGTTTTTTTACTGATCAAAATAAGTTTTTTGGCTATGCATTTATTTAATATACTCGTTCTATTTAACATGTTAGTCTTTTTTATAATCGTTTAACTATAAAATATTATGGGAAATTAGTCATATGAGATTTAGTTTTTTTCGTCTCGATGAGTACATTATTAAAATCAAACTTTTACAATATTTTCTAGGGAGAGATTAAAGATATTTGCGATTAATAATTTGCATCCATATATGTAAAAAAGATAATTATTACTTATTGTTATGAAATATCGTGTGGATGACCATTATGCTCCTTATATCATTCTGAAATATTCTAGATATATGGTTTAATCTTATCTAAACATATTTGTGGATATCCATCTTGTATCACTCTAGAACTTTCTAGAGTTTAGGGTTTATTATTTTCCAAGCAAACTCTATCAATTATTGTACTATATATATATATATATATATATATATATATATATATATATATATATATATATATATATATATATATATACACACCTCCATAATATGAAATACAAGTAGAATACACATTTCAATTCCCTCTCAATCTTTATATTTCTCCTTATTTTACAACATGTTATCAGCACCAAAGCTCTAATCAATATGTAAATTTTATTGTTGATTTCTTAGGTTAATGATTAATTCGTTGTATACTGAATGTGCTAAATTATACTCATTATTATCTTGTTGTGTCGCATCTTGGGAAGAAATTAGAAGGAGATTAATCTTGATCATGAGTTTTGATCTTTTAATAATGAAATCACACGTTTCAAGAATGTCATATCATTCCCAATCCTCATCAATTAATTTGGTACAAGGAGTCTCTCGGTATTAATAATTTGGTTACAAAGAATTACTTTATAATAGATTAGCCTTAATCAAGGGCTATACTTTATTTTCTTTTCATTGACGTTTTCATGAGTTACAGGCTAGCAGATGACGTTGACAACATGAAGTTGAAAATAAGGCTAGTTTTTATAGTGGGAAAGGTTTTTATATAAGGAAAGTTCATTCTCAACTATCCTGTTATTGTTAATTTTAAACCTTTACATAATATGTTTATATTGTTTCCCAAATTTTCGTATTTTTATTATTCCTAGAGTTTAATGAGCAATTTGGGAATAGTTGGATTTGATGCAGAAAATAACTAATTAATAGTTTTGTTTTGACTATGAATTTTGTTTAGTTTGAATCTAAAAGGGTATTTAGAATTATTATTGGTGTTAATTTTATGAACGTATGGTTTTCATGAACTTGCATTACATATATTTGCTAGATTTTGGTATTACTTTTCCTATCCGTAGTAAATGAGTTTGGTTATTTCTCTATACTTCATAGAAAATATGAATGGTTTGATTTAGCAATTATTTACCCATATAATTTGTTTGTGAAATCCTATGTCTAATGCCTTGAATGTTTGTACGAAGTAAGTCTAAGGCACATGTGAAACTATTTATAATTTATGTATTGAATTATGTTTTTATATTTCAAGTATGATATGAAACATGTGGTTTTCTACTAACGTGAACTTGTTAATTTTGGTTGCTTATGTGCTTGTTTCTATTTTCTAATTAAGCTTTATCAGGCAATATATTGATATAATTGATCCGACAGTATAGTTGATTCAATCGATTCATGTAAGTTTTTAT